GCGTTTGTGGAGAATCTCCAAGAGAGATGAATACAGGTTGCAGAACTTCCTAAATTTATTTGAACACAGTAATGAGACTAATATTTTAAAACACACATGGGAAACACTGATCTCAGGCAGTGCTGCCATGGCATAGAGGTCCAAACAGAAGACAAAGTGTGTATTACTTGTTCAGTGTCAGGGAATGTCAGTGCTGGCTGCCTGGGACTTGAACACAGTTATCCTGTCTTTGAGCGCTTCATGTTCCCTTTGTACTTCAATGACACCATTACCTTCCTCTGGTCTACTGGTTCCTTTTAAGGAAAGAAGATATACACATTTATTCTCTGTCAAAGATGTAAAAGTTTTTTTACAGACAGATTTTCCTCAAGTGTCAAGCAGAGGTTATGGAAAAAAAGAGACTAAGATAATAAACTTTAAATCACAATGTACCAAGGGGTTTTGACAGTTAACGGTTCATGTTATCACTGTACAGAAGATAGTCAGATGGCCCTGGATTCAAAGTTTCTAGTATTGTATAGATAAAGATAAAGAAGATCATGATTCTGCAATATATGCGGCTCTATGTATCACCTTGGTAGGGCTTAATAAAAACCCTACAGTGTATAAAAAGATATAAAATAATTTGAAAATTACCTGTATTGTTAACCTGTGACCATCTGTTCCATGAAGTTCAAGGACAAGAGGTAACCTATTCAGTGTGAGATTACAACACCAAGCTACTGGTATAATTCACAAAAATTAGTTGTCGCTGTCCTTTGACAAAATGAACAACAAAACAAAACAAAATTCTAGTGAATGGTAAGAAGTGTCAAATAGCAGACGAAATTCAAAAACCTATCATTTTGATAAAATGAAGATCTGCATCTGGGTGACTCATGAAACAGCAGAGAGGTCTGACTTTAAAGCCATCTTATTTGAAACACAAAGGGCTAATGCAAAGATGATAAGGTAGGATGATTTTTCTTTACAGAAGAATAACATGAAGGTCAGATGCTGCAATATTGCCTGGGTTTTTTACAAGTGGGGTAATAACATTCTAAGGAATCAAAAGAAGTTTTGTTAAAAAGGCAATCTATCTATAGAAGATAAATGATGCATGGTAAAATTTACTGCTAGAGTGAGAGAAAATGTGTAAAACATCTTAAAAGACACAAGTGGAAAAGCACAAGACATAACCTATATTTCAAACAAATGTAGAAGAATTAGTACATACCTTTCTGTTTCTAAGGAATACAGCTATGAATAAAGAGAAATACATAGAGAAATATGTTTTGATGCAAATTTAAGGGAAAAAAGTTCTAATAATGGTTATTACTTAATAGGATAGCTTTGAGGAGGCATCAAGGTCTCCATTCTTAGCATGTTCTAGAAGAGGTGAGGGACTCCTTCACATGTTAGTTTTGTGGGATTCTGATGTACCAAAGGAGAGTTGGAATAAGATAGCATCTAAGATAGATATTTTTCAATTCTGAGATATAAGAAGTCTTAGGGAAAAAAAGTACCCGATACATATGGTATGAGTCAGGTGGTGCCCAAGATGAATAATATTTCAGTTGAGAATCTAAAAGGATTATTACTAAGATTAAAAAAAAAATTATTTCACTGCAGATGCAGGGAGACTTCCTGAATTGTTGAATTGCGGTGATTCAGAGACAAAAGTCTAAAGAAATTAATGGCGTTTCATTTTGGATCAGTTTACTTACAGAAGGATTCATGAATAATATATGGGGGAATTTTTCCTAAGAAGTGAGAGCAGGGAATGGTGCAAATTGCTTTAGAAAGAAGAACAGCTATTTAGAGAAAAATATACAGAGTGTGGTACAGCTGGTAAACCATAGGATCTAAATCATTTGTACTTCCTTTGGGGAGGAGAGTAGAAGAGAAGACAAAGAAGATATGAATGTAGGGTAGTAAAGAGAATAAGAGGTAGAAGGGAATGTCAGAAGGAGAGCATTAATAAATATTTTTGGGTTGAAACGAGATAATTGGTCTTTTGGAGTGGCTTCCATTATTTTTTCATTCTCTCCCCAAGGGTCATTTTCTTCTAGAATATTATACAATGAATCATTTTCTTTCATTCTCAGATTTAGCTTGGCAGTTGCCTTGGAAATACTAATTATGTTTTCCTTGCATAAGAGAAGAGAGACCTATTATTGCTGAAGGTTCATTTTTTTTTTAAACCATGCTATAAAACTCAGAACAGTTAAGGATTATGTCACAGCTTTTTGTAAAATCATTACATCTACAATGAATATTAAGAAAATGTAATGGAAAAATAGCATGGTGCCTGGGAAATCCTTTAACAGAGTTAGACTTTTGAGTTGTTTTTGCATTTAAGAATTTGAAAATAAAGCCAAAATTTTTAAAAGAACTTTGAAAGATCAGTACACAGCATCTAGCGTGATAATACAAGAGCAGCAGCTAAAGAAACATAGTTGTCTACAACCAGATGCTTACAGAAGAGTCAGAAGCCAAATCCGTCCCTACCTATGATAGTTGTTACTTTGGAATGAAACTCTCCCTTCATTTTTCAATTTACCACTACGTAGAAGATGGATAACACAGTTTATTTTATGGCCCGTCAACAAACAAACAAACAGTAAAGTTCATATTCTTGAGAGAAGTTGATAGGTCTTATACCCCAGTACTTTTCTGGTTCAGAAGACACAATATCGTAAGAACCAACTTTTAACTCAAAGGCAAAAAAAAACAAAAACAAAAACAAGCAAATCAGAAAGAAGAATTTCAGAATGTCTCAAGAATGAAAATGGTAGTTCTACACAACATAGTGCCTATAGTGAACAACACTGTATAGTATATTTAAAATTTGCTGTTAAGAGGGTAAATCTTTTGTTAGGCATTCTTATCACATATATATATACACACAAAATGATGATGATGATGATGATGAAAATAATAATAATAATAATAATAATAATAATAATAATAATAATAATAATAAAGAGGATGGCAGATAGGTTTGCAGCCTTGATGGTGGTGATGCTTTCATGGGGTTACACTTATCCTCAAACTTGTTGAGTTGTATACATTAACTATAAACAGTTCTTTACATGAGGTATGGCCTACCATACCTCATTAAAGAGGCTTAAAAATAAAAAGAAAAAAAAATAGTAGTGACTTCGGATGGTAAAGAAGCCGAAAACTCATAGCTGCAACTTTGATCGATGTCATTAATGCCATGTTTTTGCCGGTTCAGTTTGACCATATGTTTTCTCTTGTCAGAGTTCCTTTGTGAATAGTGCTACTGCCTGGGACGTGGTAGGTGTTGAACCGCTACTTGTTAAATGAAGGAATTCATAAATGACAGGATCATAACTCAGGAAAGGAAGGAAAGAACTGATGGACAGTTTCCAGGAAACAAATGCAAAACCATGCTAGGTGGTTACAAACATGGATGCCAGCTGGACTGCATGGAGTTGAGATCCAGTTCTGTCCATTTAACTATTTGGCTCTGGCCAACTGTGTATACCTCATTTTCCTTTTGCTTATATAAAATAGGCTGTTGTGAGAAATATATGTTACATTACCAAAAGGCACTCTTAAGAGTATATGAAACATAGTAAATGCCAAATAAGTGTTTGTCATCAAGATTATTATAAAGGTCTTATCCAGGTAATTTAATACAAAGGTTAATGACAACTATGAAATTAGAGTAGTGGGGGCTGAAGACAAGCTGCCTAGAGCCCACAGTAGTGGGCACAATGAACTTTGAGGTTCAACCTCCAAAACTTGTACTTGTCCTAAAATTATTACTTTGTTCAGACTGTTCAGGTTCCCAAACACTTCCCATAAAAGTGTTGGAGATAATGACTCCTTGCAGATGTAGATTAGAGGCCCTGTTTTACAAGGACAGACATATGTCTAGATATGACTAGATAAACTTATCTTGCTTGAGAGTGATCTTCTATTAATTTTCAGTATTTGATTATTATCCTGTAGATTTGGTACAAAACAGTAAATGGAGATGAAGCAGTTTTACTAAGTACAATCTCAAATGTTTTCTGCTTGTAATTGACTTAATTTTGCTTCAGTTTATCATAGAATTCCATGGCTCAGAAAGGGTGGCCATGTGTGGGGTCAGTCGTGGCCCAGGGCTCCTGAAATGTGTGGGCAGCTGGCAAAGAGAGTAGATGTAACCATGTCTGAGGGGAGAGGAGGAAGGGATCCATTTACATATGTGACAGAAGTAGGATTATGAATTCTTGGAAGTCAGGGACTGTGTCTATGCTGGTTGAACAAAGGACCACAAAGAGACATAGATATGTACGTATCAATAAATTGGGTAATGTTGTTCCCTTTGGTATGCAAAACTCACCTCTCTATCAGTGTGCTTTAGTAGTCTCTCTGGCTAATAGGTTACACTGGGGAAGAACAACATACAATCTCTGTGTCTTGTGTATCTATGAGAACTGGTGAAAATTTAGATTTCTGTTTTTAAATGTTAATATATCAGTGCATGTACTTCTGATATCTTTACCAAAAAATCTGTTTCCCCCCCTTTTTATTTCTGCCCATGGTCACTGCTATGGACTAAATTGTGCTCCATCCCCTCCAAATTCATATGTTGAAGTTCTGACCCCTAATATGACTGTATTCAGAAACAGGGTCTGTAGGTGGTGATTAAGGTTATTAATCAAATGAGTTAAGGATGGACCTTTAATCCGAAAGGACTGGTGACCTTATAAAAAGGGAAAGAGTGATCTCTTTCTGAGCACAAGTACAGATGGAAGGCCATGTGAGGACACAGAAATCAGATAGTTGCCTGCAAGTAAGGGAGAGAGACGTCACTAGAAACTGAATGGGTCAGAGCCTTGGTTTTGAGCTTCCCAGCTTTCGGAACTGTGAGAAAGTAAGATTTCTGTTATTTATGCCACATGGTCTGGCATTTTATTATGGCAGCCTAAACTAAGATGGTCATATATTGGGGAATGAGGGCTTTACAAATATACACACAGTTTTGCTTGAGTCACACTCACCATGAGAAGTCTGTCTCCTACTTGCAACCTTCCATCTTTTTGTGCAGCGCCTCCATCTATAATTTTAGTTACGTAAATGCTGTTGTCTCCAGGAATGTGTTGGTTCCCCACACCTCCTGCAATACTGAAACCTAAACCTATAGGAAAGGAACAGAAAAAGAAAAGCTTTTTTTGTTTTTTTTTTTAAGAGAATGCAATTAGCCACATTTCAACAGCTGAAAACCAGTCTAAAAAAGTTTGTCCTCCATTTATTACAACCATAATAAATAACAGTTAAAGGCTTCTCCTGCAACCAATTTATTCTTTAAACATTTGAAGGCTTGTTGACTAATGTTAATGAAGTCAATTACACGTGGCCATAGTTTTGTTCTATTCAAGACTGTACAACTGTTTCCCCCTATCTAATCAACTTACAGTGGGTGCCTGGTCAGAACAGGGATCAGGCTAAAGGGTACGGAAGGATCCCTAGGTGAGCCTGGCAAAATACAAGTACAGTCCTATTCACCCTGAGTGTATGGGCTCATCTACATTGTTAGTCAAGCATTAAGAGCAGAAGCATTGCCAGTCATTTAGGTAGACACCTAGATACTCTTGGCATTTCAGGATGACAAGTACAACTGTTAGAAAGTTCTACAAATTCTTAAGCCATGAGCCATGAGGAAGGCACTTACGGTATTATGTAATAATTTCAGAAAGAAGATAAGGAAAAGAAGCTACATGCTTGCCCTTCATGTTTCTTCTTTGGCCACTTTGTCATATTTTCACACTTTCTGACACTTAAACTTTTATTAACTGATAGCGAGGCTAGTTCACACACAAAAATGAATTATCCTTGTATAATCTAAAGAATAAAGAATCATATTACTCTGACTCTATTATTTTTATAACAAACCATAGAATATAAAATCATTTTAAACATGGCAATTTTCTATTCTGAGAGATGAATTTTACTGTACTATGTCTTACAAAACCTTTATTTATATTTAACTATGGAATCACAATAAGAAGAGAGTTATGTAAAAAAATTATGATGAGGCCATTGTAAATGAATGACTAATAGAATCTTTACAGGTATAAGAATAAAAGAGGCCCTTTCAGAATATGATTGAACACATATTCAGTATAATACCTGTAGCATGTATATTCATTGCACCTAAAAATTATGGTAATTGCATGCAAATTACTCAGCAAGAGATATAAACCAAAGGCCTTTGTTATGAAAGACATAAGGAATTTCTGTAACTTACTTAAGAATTGTTTTTTAAACCTCATACTTAGTCACCTAGCTTTAAAAAACTACACACCTATTTTATGATAACACAATCATAAAAAGTTTTGGCACTTTATAGAAAAGTAATGAAAAACACTTTAAAATACTCCATTTCACTATGCTTTTATTGAATAAATGTTGAGTATGGTTATGCACTCTTAAGATGGCATAAATGATCAGTTAATGGAAAATTAATGACATTGTAAATTATAAAGTAATATCTCTGGAATTGTATTTTAAATGATTTTTTTGTTAAAGTAACCATAACAGTTGTTAAAAATAAGTGGAAAATGGATTTAAATTGATAGGGCAATTAAAATAAGTGCTATCTAATTTCCTACTGAAGTGGGTAATTATTCCTTATTGATGCTTTGAAATCCCATAGATCTATAAATGTATTTGTCTCAGATTTCAAGAATTTGTTTATCAAGTATATGATGACCAAGAGTAAATATAATGTCCTCAATTGGCATTTCCTGTGAAATTTAAAATACATATCACCTCATATTTTCCAAAACTATTACTTCATATTTATATATAATTATATAGAGGAGCTTAAAAAATATATTTACAAAAGTCTCATAGCCACATGCTAGGATCAGTCTATTGCATTTATTATAGTACAGAAGTCATTCCAAACTGTGGAAAGAAAAGGTTAAAACAAATCTGGGGACTCTGATTTACATCCACTGTGTCAACAGTAAATGCCACAGACGGTCTGAGTTACAGAAGAGCTAAAGAAACAAATTACCTCTGTAAATAAGGTTAAGTCCAACAAAAGGAATAATTATGTAGTTGATATTTGAAGTTGCACATTGTACCGACAATAAAATCACGATGGGTACTGTAGACATAAATATATCAGCTAAAATGGAAATAACCTTTCCTTTCTTTGGCAGAGATTAGGTTTAAGTGGTGTTTTTTTAACTGGTGACTTTACCCAAGCTGAATCAAAGTATTTTTGGTAAGTGCCGAAGAATGTTTCTGAAGGTACAGAACTAAAAAATTTCCCTGATTTCTCTTTTTCTGATGGAACACAGATACATTTGAAAATAATCAACATGTAATCAACATTCAACCATATTCCAGATACGTAATTCAACGTGAGTAAATGTTTAGCTTATGTCTACATCCAGAATACAAGTTTATTTACAAGTGGGCGTATCCATCTGTGTTACAAGATTGAATCTGCCCCATTCATTCACCGATTCACTCATGTATTCCTTCATTGAGCGGACATCTGAGTACAGATTGTGCATTATATAGCCAGTTGCTATTGATTGTGGCCAATATAAAGCTAAAGGAATGAAATGACCAGAAACACTATAGAAATAATGATCCATGAACAGGTTCATGTGAGTATGACTGAAACTAGCTGAAGCAATGTTGTAATCCCAGATGATGCCAGTGATTACTGGAGAACTACTCTACAAAAACAAACAGGCCAGGACCACTAAGCCATAAGACCAAAGCCAAACAATCCGTTCGGAGGCCCTGGGTGTTGCCTGCATACCCTTGCTGTCTACATTACAGGACCATTCTCACCCCTCATTAACGTACATGCTCCTCCTTCATTCCACTCTAGACACACTTGCAGCCTTGATGTTTCTAGACTATGCTAGACACACTCCCACCTTAGGGCATTTGCTAGCTGTTCCTGCTGCCTGGAATACACTTCCTTCAGGGGTTTGCTCAAACCTCGATTTCTCTAGGATCCTGAATCTCACCTCCCTACTTAATACTGTCTCCTAACCATATACCCCATTTCCTTATCCTGGTGTACTTTTCATTCTCCCTTAGCTCTTATACCATGTAACATACTACATAAGTTCCCTTTGTATTTTATTTATTTTGTTATTGTCTGCCTGCTTGGTAAAAATACATGTTTCATGCTGACAGGGATTTTTGTCTGCTTCATGCTGTACAATAGAACAAAGCCAGTTATATAGTTATTTCATAAATATGTATTAACTGAAAGGATGAATGAACAAAATGAACACAGGAGGATGAGGCGAGTTGCACGTTCCTGAGGAAGCCTCCCCTTAGAGATGAGCTGGTGGCTTTCATGAGTGAAAAGCTGGAAAGGTTAGCACTGTTAGAGGTGAGAACTGTAGGAGGCATTATACTGCCTGGGGTGAACTCTGACCTCCATCTTCAGATCTACAACCACGAGGCAGGCCATGGGGCAACAGCACAGCCAGGTGCACACCCTGATTCTTTCATCTACTAACTGCAAACTGGAGTCCCAATTTCATCTGTAATAAGAGAAAAATTATATATATGTTCTATAGTAATGGGCACATACTAGATGCCTGATAAATAAAAATTCTCTGCTCTCAACATACTCTCAAGCTGTGATGAAAAACAGATCCCTAGAGACTTTGACCTGCTTTAACTGGCTAGGATGAGTTCTGGAATGGTGCTGGTGTTACGTGAGCCCATAGGGGGAGCATGACTGACTAAGGGGAGCATGATAAGAATCAACAAACGGTTTAGCGTTTGGGCTGGGGCTTAAAGGTTAAGTTAGAATTGATCAAAGAGAATGCACCTTGCAAACTAGAACACCTTCTAGATTCCAGACCGACAAATAACTACAGAGGCAGCTGTCCTGACTTAGGTCATACAAATCCTAGCTGGAAATTGAGACAGAAATGCTTGGCAAACACTCACAACATGTATTTATGATGAAATAAGCTAGAGTGGTCTCTCTGACAGGACTAACATAAGGAGTATGATAAACATTTGAGTGAGGAACACTGAAAATAGCAAAATGCTGATTTGTACCAACTGACCAATTTAGAGAAATGGTCGCCATTTTGAAAAGAAGTGTCCGTGATTAAAAAATAGCCCTGGAACATCAGGGGATGGAAGGCTGATTAATTATAAAATCAACTCGGTGAGAAGGATTGGTTCACTCCCTACTGTGGAATGTTTGGTTATTAAGAATAATAGTAAACATGCCTATACATGTGCTAGTAAAAAACAAGACTGACATAGAAAAATGTAAGTATGAAAATCACAAAATGAAGGGCAATCAGTGGATATCAGTACTCTAGCAGAGGAAAAAATATATGTGAAACTTAAACCCCTAATTCCCCAAGCAATTAAAAATGGATTGTTTGACAAACATAGGATGTGCAAATGGAATTTCAGGATTATTGCATCTCCTGCATAAAGCTGGGCTTGTCTTTTCCATATTTCCTGCACATATCCAAACTGTAATTCCTTGCATTAACATAGGAGATCCAGACATAGCAAAAGGAATGTTTGAACTTAGTTAAAGCCTTTAATTTAACCTTTTCTACACAGAAGCTTTTTCTCATCCTATGAAAAAGGAACACACAGAATGGATTACATTCACCCTTTTTCCTTGTTGCCTGCCCACGCCGAGGAGCAGGTGTTAGTGAGAGGCGGGGGCCTAATAGCAGCAGTCTTGGCAGCAGAGACTGATACTGAGCATAAAAGCTCAGAATAAAAAACTCAAATGCTTAAGAGTCCTGTTGTTAAAATGTACGTACATATTCTTTGTGGGTGTAAGGCACTAAGCCCACAGTATCTTAGAACCATTCAATAACTTGGTTCAACTTCATTTTATGTGACTTTCCTAGCACAGCACTTCTGGGGCTTCTCTAACCAATTCAATATTACTAAGCAGACCACTTCTGTCAGAGTTTATCTAGGATCTTCGAGGTGAGGTGTTTACCACTTTACAGAAAACACTAGTGCATTCTATACATTCTGACTATGTTTTTATTGAAGGAAACCTAGAAGCCATCCTGAACCCTGGCTGGCACTGTCTTAGGTAAACACCTACCCATGCAAGTAACTTAATTTCTAAATGTACATGCATTTCAATTAAAACAAAAA